TGTGATGGCAGATAAGAACCATTTGGCCAATCTAGTCTGCCCAGATTTCAAATACTTTCATTAAGAGCAGTAATTCTCAGGATTAAAATATAATTTTTCTCTTTATAAATTACTGGTGAGACCACACCTTGCATATGCAGTGCAATTTTGGAAGGATACTATGGCACTAGAAAAAGTGCAGAGACGGGCTACAAAATTGATAAAAGAAATTGAACATTTTAGTTATAAAGAGAGGTTAACAAATTTAAATCTCTTTAGTTTTGAAAAAAATGATGCCTCAGATGGGATATGATAGCATTATACAAATATATTTGGGGCCAGTACAAACCATTGTGTGGAAATCTATTCACAAACCGGACTTTACACAGGACACGAGGTCATGCGTTTAGACTGGAAGAAGATTTCGTCTAAGGCAAAGGAAAGAACGAAATCTATTCATAAATAGGACTATACATAGGACAAGAGTTTATCCATTTAGGCGGGAAGAAAGGAGATTTATTCTAAGGCAAACAAAAGGTTTTTTTTACAGTAAAAACAATAAGGATGTTGAATTTTCTGCCTGAAGAGGTGATTTTATCAGAGTCTACACAGATGTTTAAATAGCAGTTGGATAAATATTTGCAAAAACATAACAGATTCCGACACACACCTGAGGGAGGAGAGATGACGTAAACACACACGCATACACGTAGCGGCGTGGAAGCCTCTTGGGGAAAGCACTCCATGTCTCTGATGTTCGAGGGCAGAACTAAGCTGTTTCTTGTAGCCGTTTTATGGAACTAGTGGATCGATGCAATGCCGGTACCTCCGCCACAATCTTTACTTATGTCTCACCTCCTAGCCTGGTTTATTTTGCTATGTTTAGGGAGGCATGAGAGGCCCAGGAGGGCTAGATGGTGGTTTTAACACTATAGGGTCAGGAATACAGGTTTGTGTTCCTAACCCTATAGTGTTCCTTTAAAGTATATGCTGTCAGATACCACAGGACATATTCAGAGGTCTTGCCCCTCCTCTACAAAAACATGTCACCCCCTTCTACAAAACCTCTGTAACCCCTCTAAAAAAAAACCTGCCCCCTTTACAAAATCCTTGTCCCTACCTCTACAAAACACCTGTTACTCCTTTCCACAGAACCCCTGCCACCTCTACAAATCCTTTGTCACCCTCTACAAAACCCCTGTCATTCCTTTCCATGAAACCCCTGTTCCCCTCTAAAAAAAAAAAACCTGTCCCCCTTCAAAAAAAACCCTGCCTTTCCCTCTTCAATACCTCCCCCCATTCTACAAAACCCCTGCCCCCTTCTACAAAACCCATGTCACCCCTCTACAAAATCCTTGTCACCCCTCTACAAAATCCTTGTCACCCCTCTACAAACCCCCTGTATCCCTTTAAAACCCCTGTCACAACTCCTCAAAACCGCTGTCACTCCTTTCAAGAAAACCCCTGTCCAACTCTACAAAACCCCTGCCCACCAATTTATAGATACACTGGTATCTATAAAAAAAAAAAAAAAACCACAATATCAGCAAGCAGATATTCCACTCATAATTGATTAACCCCTTAAGGACCGCGGACGGTTCAGGACCGTCATTGGCATTTTCCCATTGCCGACCGCTGACGGTCCGTTGTTCCCCCGGCGGCGCTCAGCGGTGCTCCCGGTGTGGGAAGACTGCCTGCAGCCCAGACAGACAGTCTCCCCATGGCGGATTAGGACCCCTGTGGCCATGTGATTGCTCAACACAGCGATCACATGGTCACAATAGTGTAAAAAAAAATAAAAAATAATGAAGGTTAATGTTAATAAAAAAATAAATTATATATATATATGATATATAGACATATATCTATATAATATATGTCTATATATCATATATATAATGTCATACTAAGTGTATTTTTATATTAATATGTACATATATTAATATAAAAACACACTTATAATTAAATTACACACACACACATATATATATATATATATATATATATATCGACACCCTAAAACCTGTACTTGGAGGGTACTGTTTTATTCAGGAGACTTCGCTGAACACAAATATTAGTGATTCAAAACAGTAAAACATATCACAGCGATGATATTGTCAGTGAAAGTGAAGTTTTTTGCATTTTTCACACACAAACAGCACTGATGATATAATTGTTGTGATACGTTTTCCAGTTTGTAAAACACTAATATTTTGTTTAGTGAAGTCTTCCCCCATGTACAGGTTTTATAGCATTTTTGAAAGTTACAGGGTCAAATATATGCATCAAATATTTTTACATTGAAAATGGCCAGGTTGGTTACGTTGCCTTTGAGAGCGTATGGTAGCCCAGGAATGAGAATTAACCCCATGATGGCATACCATTTGCAAAAGAAGACAACCCAAGGTATTGCAAATGGGGTATGTCCAGTCTTTTTTAGTAATCACTTAGTCACAAACACTGGCCAAATTTAGCGTTCAATTTCGTTTTTTACTTTTTTAACACACAAACAAATATGAATGCTAACTTTGGCCAGTGTTTTCGACTAAGTGGCTACTAAAAAAGACTGGACATACCTCTTATTGAATACCCTGGGTTGTCCACTTTAAAAAAAATATGTACATGTGGAGTGTTATTCAGAGATTTATGACAGATAATGGTGTTACAATGTCACTATTGATAAATTTTAAAAATGTATGTTTTGAAACCGCAATATCCTACTTGTATCTACAGCCCTATAACTTGCAAAAAAAAGCAAAAAAAAGCACATAAACACTGGGTATTTTTAAACTCAAGACAAAAGTTTTTTTCATTCGCTTTTGTAGATGAGTAAAAGCTTTTTCAAGTAAAAGTAAAAAAAAACATGTATTTTTTTCAATTTTTCATCATATTTCTTTTATTTTTTTTTAAATTAAATTACATGAGATTATATAAATAATGGTATGTAAAGAAAGCCCCTTTTGTCCTGAAAAAAAACAATCTATAATTTGTATGGGAACAGTAAATGAGAGAGCGGAAAACTACAGCTAAACACAAACACTACAAAAGTGTAAAAATATGCCTGGTCGCAAATGTACATCATCGCAAAAACAGTCCAGTCCTTAAGGGGTTAATTGTTGAAGGTCTGCTTGCTGCTCCCTGCTGCTGACTTCCATTGGCGGATCCGGGGGGGGGGGCAACGGGGCAATTGCCCCCCCGAGATTCTCCCCTGCCGGCTAATGCAGGGCTGGCATTGTCCAACTGCCAGCCAGTGGTGTATCCTGGTTTTGTGCTGCCCTAGGCAGGACAAAACTCAGGAACCCCCCCTGCGCCAGCCCCACCCAACCATTCCCCCCGCCCCGCCTTCTAAATACACACACACTAACAGACACACACACACACACACTAACAGACACACACAGTCAGACATACACACTGTCAGACACACACATACACACTGTCAGACACACATACAGTCAGACACACACACACACACACACACTAACAGACACACAGAGCTCTTCCTCTGAGCGGTCTGCTCAGCTCCCTCCTGCGCCGCAGAGTGAGGCTGGGAGCCGGAAGATGACGACATATTCCGGCTCCCAGCCTCACTCTGCGGCACGCGAGGGAGCTGAGCGGACAGCTCAGAGGAAGAGCTCCCTCGCCAGCCGCCTGCCCTGCAGCCCGCAAGCCCGGCCGGTCAGTTAGCCGCGAGGCAAACAAGGCATTTTCCCTGGGCATTTTGGGGGCAGCGTTTTTTGCCGCCCCCTGAAAAATGCCGTCCAAGGCAAATGCCTTGTTTGCCCGCGGCTAAAACGCCCATGCTGCCAGCCCTGCTATGTGCCTGCGGACCGGGGAGGGAGATCACTGATCTCCCTCCCACGGTCCACAGGCACATTGCTGACAGCCGGCAGGGGAGGGAAAGAGGACCCGGGAGATCAGTCTGCAGCGCCTCTGGGTCCTCCTCTCGCGAGATTTGGAGCGTTGCGGCGGTTACCACGGCAACGCTCCAAATCTCGCGAAAGTGAAGTCTAGCCCTGGAGCGCGTGCTAGACTTCACTCCACAATGGAACCACCAGTGATTCCCACTGGGACCACCAGGGATGGAGCTCAGAGCACACACATACAGTTCAATTGCCATGGAGCCAAAGTCTTTCCCATAGTCTTTCATTATACGAATGGGCTCCATGGCATAGCTATCTGGGGTATCACTGCTCAAACAGGGCAAGCACCAAATGACCCGGCTTTCTTGTCTTTGCAGGGGAAAATCAAGCCTTTTAACATGGGGCCATAATCCAAAGGCAACAGGCGAGCAACCAGGCTTCTCCAATGCAATGTGGCAAGATTGCTCTCGTCACAATCAGGTTTTGAATAATTGTAAAATGGAAATAGGGATACTGAGACAAGATAATTATTATAATCCACGAATTGAACAATGGCAGAAATGGATTGTAAAATTAGGAAGAAGAAATGAGACTTAACATACATTAAGGTTTATACGTCCGGGAATTGTAGATGGGGTAGTGGAACCTGTGCATAAATTTCTAAGAAAGCCATAGTTTTACGGAGCCTGATTGGTAGAAAGAATGATTGTTAAGTGTTCTTTTTTTAGGTTCCCAGGAGTAATACGCGACTAACTCTCAGCAAAGGGCAGTGTGTTTTTTTGTGAATGAATATGTTTTTGTGTTTTTGTGTTTTTTTTTTTTTTAAGATTAATATAGGTAGGTAGGAAATTTCATCAAAAGTATAAATATATAAGGAAGGGACTTGATAGAATATAAAAAAGGCTCTTAGGAATTACTGTATATATTTAAAATCCTCCTTCCTTTTTGTATTGAAAGTGATCGAATTGTAATGTTCTTACACATACCTCATGTCATTTTCCTCCTAATGTTTAACGTCTAATGTTTAATGTCTAATTGTTTTTTTGTAATAATGTATGTGAACACCTTTTTCTTCAAAAAATAAAAAGAAATACAACGAAAGAAAAAGGAAAAAAAAAGGAAAAACTTTTCAATAAAGATTAAATATAAAAAAAAAGAAAGATGATAAAGTCCAGTATTGTTCCTGCAAAGGCAGTAATGAGCCTCCTTGGATCTATGTCATCCACGATAGGGCTGACCAGATGGGCACAATGGAGGATGAGACCATTTCAAGCCAATTTCCTGATGCAATTTTCTTCCAAGAATTTACTCCAACCCATCAAGTTATCCCGGGCCGTACGCCATTCTCTGATCTGGTGGCTGAACAAAGAACACCTTTCCAGGGGGTTTCCACTAGGAGACATCACATGGATAGCAGTGACAACAGATGCCAGCCAATGGGGATGGGGCGCCCATTGTCTCCACGACTTTGCACAGGAAGAATGGAGTTTCATGACAAACAATGTGCATTCCAATCTGCTAGAACTTCTTGCAGTCCTCAAAGCACTGAAGAATTTCTTGGTATATCTCAAAGATCAATGGGTAAAGATAAGGACAGACAACACCACCGTGGTATCCTATATCAATCACCAAAGAGGCACCAGGAGTGGCAAGATGATGGTGATTATGAAACAACTGATGTGGTGGGTGCAGAGGAACTTGGCAGGCCTTACAGCCATCCATCTACCAGGGAAACGGAATCAATTGGCAGATTTCCTCAGCAGATCCAGGATAGACCCAGGAGAATGGTGCCTATCGGACAGAGTATTCCGCATGATTGTGGACAAGTGGGGTCTCCCTCAAATAGACCTCCTAGCTACTCGGGTCAACAGGAAGGTGAAAGATTACTTCACGAAAGAGGAAGACCATCTAGCACTGGGAAGAGACGCCTTATCTAGTCCCTGGAGATTCAAAATAGGGTATGCATTCCCTCCATTTCCATTGATCTTCCCAATCCTGATGAGGATGAGAACAGAGAGGGTATCTCTCATCTTGATAGCGCCCTATTGGCCTCGAAGGCCTTGGTTTCCCCTGCTTCAAAATCTTTCAGTGGAACCTCCTCTCCCACTTCCCGGATCTACTGTTCCAGGGCCCAGTGTTGCATCCAAACCCGGTCTCACTAAATCTCATGGCATGGAGACTGAAAGGAACAGGTTTGTGAACAAAGGATTCTGCCAGGCGGTAATAGAAACTATGCTGAAGGCACGGAAGCATTCCACTTCAGGCATTTATTATAGAGTGTGGGAAGTTTTTTCTGCCTGGGCTCTTCCTAAAAATATTGATCTGCAGAATCCCTCTTCCACGGATATTTTGGAGTTCCTACAGTCTGGACTTTCTAAAGGTCTCAGTTATAATACTCTAAAAGTACACGTCTCAGCTTTGTCCGCCTTAACCAATCACAGATGGGCATTGGACTCAGATGTTATTAGATTCATTAACGGAGTCCTTAAAATTAAACCTCCAATTAAGCCATTTGTTCCCTCCTGGAATCTCCCTTTGGTTCTGAACGCCTTAAAATGGGAACCCTTTGAACCCCTTGAATCAGTTTCTCTACAGGCTCTGTCTATCAAGACAGCTTTGCTGATCGCCCTAGCTTCCGGTAGGAGAGTTTCGGAGCTCCACGCCCTATCCACTAAGGAACCCTTTACGGTCTTTCATAAGGACAGAGTTATCCTCTGTACTGTTCCTGAATTTAGACCTAAAGTCACCTCCGCCTTTCACATTAACGAAGATATTGTTCTCCCATCTCTGAGGCCGGAAGGCCAAGAAAGCAAGAATTCAACTGTCACCTCTGGACCTAGTGAGATGCCTTCGTATCTATATTGAAAGGACTGCTGCTTGGCGCATTTCTCAAAGTCTCTTGGCCCTTCATAGTGGTAGTAGAAAAGACTTGCAAGCCCCTAAATCTACCATTAGCAGGTGGATAGTGGCAGCCATTATACAGGCTTATAAATCTTCTGGATATCCAGTCCCTGTGGGTCTTAAAGCCCATTCCACTAGGGCCCTCTCATCTTCCTGGGCAGCAACGGCTAATGTCTCTCCTGAACTCATTTGAAAGGCGGCCACATGGTCTTCCACCAATACCTTTATTAGAAGTTATCAAATTGATGTCAGAGCAGGTCTATCAGATCAATTTGCTAAATCAGTTCTGTCTGTACCGATACATGATTCTTTGTTTATCACTTGTTAATGGTGTTAATACACTTTGCATTCAACATTTTCGAGTCTGTGTCTTCTTCTCTCCCTGGTTTATTGCTTGGGAATTTCCCAATGTTGTGCTGCCATGGATATGGCCAGGAAAATAGAAAATGTATTCATACTTACCGTAATTTTCTTTTCCTGGTCATAGGCCATGGCAGCACAGGGGTCCCACCCAAGGCTATTGCTGTAAAACATGACTGGGGAAGGAGGGGTAGGAGGTGGTACTTATACGGCTTAATTATTATTCCTGTCCAATGAGGATAGGGAGGAGCTACCCAATGTTGTGCTGCCATGGCCTATGACCAGGAAAAGAAAATTACGGTAAGTATGAATAAATTTTCTATTTATATATATATATATATATATATATATATATATATATATATATATATAGATATAGATCCATCCATCCAAGAAGGATGCAGCACTCTCGGATTTAAAAGTCCAACATTTATTAGTATGAAGTTAAAAAGATCGACGTTTCAGTCCTACATAGAGGACTTTCATCAGGATCAAATACAAAAATATGGAAAACAAACATTGCTTATATACATATCAAAATTATTCAAATTGACTTACCCCCAGGTGAATCAAGTGTGTGACCGGCGTTCTGCCGTGCCGTATCTGTATACTATAATGCACCTATAGATGCACAGTTATACACTATATTCATAATAGAATCTTGTTGTTGGATTATTACAACATTCTTTTAACTTTGCATGTTATCTTTGGCCCACGGCACGGATATTTCCTGTTAATTATCTCCATAGCGACGCCATGATTACCCGCGTCGCTATGGAAACGCACACTACGTCATCACATTATGATGTCACCAAGGGGCGGAGCTTGGCCGCACATGCGCACAGGGAACGGCAGAACGCCGGTCACACACTTGATTCACCTGGGGGTAAGTCAATTTGAATAATTTTGATATGTATATAAGCAATGTTTGTTTTCCATATGTTTGTATTTGATCCTGATGAAAGTCCTCTATGTAGGACTGAAACATCGATCTTTTTAACTTCATACTAATAAATTTAGGACTTTTAAATCCGAGAGTGCTGCATCCTTCTTGGATAAATGGATACTACTAGTCTTGGCATGCTAGCACCCAGTTATTAAGGGATTACAGCGTGAGTGCAAGAGCATTTTTCATTTTTTCATATATTATATTATATTATATATTATGTATAAAAAAATAATAAAAACACTAATTTTGGCCAGCATTTGTGACTAAGTGGCTATTACAAAAGACTGTATATATTCAGGGACGTTTTAGCAGTGAGGCAAACAAGGCATTTGCCTTGGGCGGCATTTTCCAGGGGGTGGCAAAAAACGCAGCCCCCAAATGCCCAGGGCAAATTTCTTGTTAGCCTTGTGGCTAACTGACATGTTGGGCTGGCTGCCGGTCGGGCTGCTGGGCGGGTGGCACTGGCGAGGGAGCACTTTCCCCTGAGTGCTCTGCTCAGCTCCCTCGCGCGCTACCCGCAGAGTGAGGCTGGGAGCCGGAATATGACATCATATTCCGGCTCACGGCCTCACTCTGCGGTGCACGAGAGAACTGAGCAGAGCGCTCAGGGGAAAGTGCTCCCTCGCCAGCGCTGCCCGCCCAGCAGCCAGCCCTTCAGCCCGACCGGCAGCCCCAGGGAGAGGGAGAACACACTCCCTAACAGACAAAAAAATATATAACAATAAGCATACCAGACCTAGTGAGAAGCAGGGACAGAGTCAGTCAGAGTCAGTCATCAAAACACCCCTTGATAAAGGCATTTTTGCCAAAACGTTGGGGGTGTTTTGGTGATTGACTCTGTCCCTGCTTCTCACTAGGTCTGGTATGCTTATTGTTATATATTTTTTTGTACATATATTTGTGTTTGTGGGGTTGGATTAGACTGGTATCTCATTTCTCTATTTTTATATACTGAGATTCTGCAATTTATAGAAGACGCATTTGGTGTTTATACATATATATTCAGAATTTTTCTGATCATTGCTGTATAGCGTGATATGATCCTTTATTTTGGATCCTTATGTTATGTGATATTCTTATAGAGTGTACCCACTTAATAAAGGTTTTTTTTATTATTATTGATGGTTGTCCTCCTTACTCTATTGTTATTTACATGTATTTGGGCTTTTGGGGATAGAGCCTCATGTGAGTGAGCACCCCATATCGTATTTTCATAGAGCTCCACTTGGGAGCTTGCGCATATTTCATATTGGGTGTGCCTACCTTATTTAATTTTTAAATACAATACATGGTACCAGAAGTGGGGTACAGAAAACAATGGCAAGCAGCTGCAGCACAAAAAAACACTCCTCCCCTGGATTTAGAATCTGGAAATATATCAAAGAACTGAGCAAAATGGAGGGAGCTTATAGAGCTGGTTTATGCAGAACCGGATGCCGCACATTGGACTGACCAACAAAAGGCAGCATACTTTCTAATCAGTGTGGGCCAAACAGATCATGATGTATGCAGAGCATGGTGTGCAAGTTGACATATAACTGCAGAGGACAAGAAAAAGACAGAGGTACCGTTTGCAAAGTTTGGTGCATACTGTAATCCACGCAAAAACACCACAGTGCAGAGAAAGATGTTCTATGAGAGGATCAAGGGGGTAGTGAATCAGTGGATGAATGGGTCACACAATTACAGATACTCGCTAAAGACTGTGCTTTTCATGATGCTAGAGATATGATAAAAGACAGGATACTAATGGGCAGCCAGTATAAAAATATTCAGGAAAAGTTACTGCAGGAAGAGAATTTAACCTTTGAAAAAGCTGTCAGAAGTGCAAGAGCATATGAGATGTCAAGAAAAGACTTGCAGGCACTGGGAGGGCCACAACAGATCAGTGCACTGAAAAGCAATCTAACAGTCACAAAATAGAACAAAAAGATGACTGGAGAAGGAACAAAAGAGAAAACAGAGTTAGACACACTGGAACAACCTGTGGATATTGTGTAAACATGCCCTGCAAGAGGACAAACATGCAATAAATGCAGAAAAAGGGAAATTTTGCCAAAATGTGTAATAAAGGAACAAGCTATATAAAGCCACAGCCACAACCAGTATATAGTATAGATAAAATCGACAATTTAGATGATGACACAGGTACCTCCCAGATATACCTTGCCTCTATGCAGGACACACAGCACTCTGCAGATGAGGCAGTGGTCACATTGGAACTAGGGGCTTCTCAAATACCTGTAATGTTTAAAATTGATACAGGACCACAGATAAATTGTATGCCATGACCCATAAATTGCAAATTCCACTGTAATGAATGCCAGCTAGAAACACAAAGACTACCAAAGCTGATGTGGTATGGAG